AAATCACTTGACGAAAGTCAAGGTTTTATTGCGAAATCGGTTTTGAAGTTTGAAACCAAGAATGTTTTGAAAGAGGGAGAAAGTTTTGAAAATTTAAGAAGGGGAGGAGATGAAGTGACTATCCTAAAAAAACAAAATAAGAGCTAGAGGTAAGAAAGATCTAACCGACTTGTAGCACACTCCAAAGCAAGCAAAAAGAATTCCATCCGATTTAAAGCATAAGCTAATGAGCGAGCCAAATAAAGGCTAAGATCCACAATACTCCAAGCATAGGAATGGGAACCCTAATTCTAAGTCCAAAGATCCATAAAGTCCAAGAATGGTCCAAGAGCATAACCACAAAGTTAATAGCACCAAAATTTTTTTAGATGTTTTATCCTTTATTAATGTCTTGAACAAAGTATGGTCCAAGTGGACAAAAGAAAAATGACATAAACATAAACAAAGATATGGTATGAAATGATAAAATGGAAGCATAAAAGTAAGAAATAAGGAGTAAGAAGTGAATATAAGCAAAATTAAACAAGGATATTGTTAGTGAATTAGTGGTTAGTGGTTAGAACATATGATCAATGATGATTAATTCTTGCACTTAGACCAAGATTAATGAAAATTCATTAGAGGATTGATAGAATCAAAGCCTCCTAACAATGATTTTCATAGGTATTGGAGTTAAGACAAGCAACTAAACATACTTGGACTTTTAAACGTAAGTTTGAGCCACGAATGATCATTTTCCGATTAAGGGACACTTTAGCGCTATGTTAAGCAATCGTAATCGGGTTTATGTAGAAACCACGACTATCTGAGGCCGGTCAATAAAATGTTAGTGTTAATACATGTTAGAGAAATGATATATAAATCACTCTCCTAAAACATGCCACACAAAAAGAAAAGAGGTAGTGATCTCATCACAATCAAGATTTTTAATTAATTAATCAAAGGTAATCTATCACTATTCCAAAGTAAGGAGAATTATCTCAATGATTATTCGTCCATAGATTTGAAATAATGAAGATTAAACAACCTTGATAATCAACAATCTATGATCCATGGATTTCATCGATCAAAAATAAAAAGAAGAAGAAAAAGAATTAAAATAAAAAGAAATTTCAATTTGAATCTTAAATCGATTAAATTATCATCAATATCAATCACCTCTCTTGGCGGATTTGAAATTTATCCTATCAACGCCCATGGTCCATTGAGATTGACAAAATCATATTCAAAATTTAAGATCCAACCAAATCAACCAACAAGAAATTCAAAAAAAGAAACATAAACAAAAAGAAAAGGGAGGTTTATAAACAAAGCATGGTGATGGTAGTGGTAAAAGGCCACACGGCCCAAGATCTATTTATTTATTTATTTTTTTAAAAGAAAAAAAACTAAAATAAAACAAAAGTAAAGTAAATGGAAACAGAAGCTGTAGAACTTCGTCATCTTCTTCAATGATGTGTCACGACTACTATTCACAAAGCCATGGATGCTTCAGTGCTCTCTCAAATCGGAGCGGCGGGACACAAAAAGTACGCGGTTGGAGTCGAAATGCAAAGTGGACTCCAAATATATTCTCGATTTCAAACGAAACTCAAACATAGAGGCACATTCAGAAGATGAAGTTTCGACGAAAACCGGTAACTACCTTCAATTGAAGTGAATGACGATTGGATTTCTCTTCTTCTCTTTCTTCTTTGAATCTGGAGATGCGAAATTGAATTCCAGTTTTGATGATGAAGGTTAAAGAAAAATTGAAGGGTAATATTGATGAATTTTCCAGGATTATGAAGGTTAATTGAATGAAGCTTGAAGGTGATTGAAGAAAGTTTGGATTGAAGTTTGGTTTTATTTTTTGCAGAGGTTTTCTGGCTTTTCAAGCTTGAAGAAATGAAAGAGGTATGTGTTCTATTTATAGATGGAGGAGAATGAAAATGTTTTGCCGTTTGGGTATTTTTCTGTGTGTTTTGGTTGCTCAAGTTATGCGTGACCTGTGGCTGTATTTTTTTTTCACGTCGTTTTGATTTTTCTCTTTCAGCTTTTGTTGTAATTTGAATGTGACGTGGATTCTTGCTTTTTCATTTCAGCTCAGATTTAAATATCTGAGGTGGATTATTTTCAACATGTTACTTGAAGGTACAACCGTCTTGGAAATACGGCCCAGTGCAAGCCCAGTCACTTCACATAACCAACAACAACATTATCAACTGATTTCAATGCCCTGTTATTGACAAAGTTGTCATAGCACCAAGATGCATCCTCATTGTTTTGCTCATCTTTCATCTTCGTTTCAATGTCGCATTTCCCCCAAGCTGAACCGCAAAAGAAGTTGAAGCCACTGATGCGTTCAAATCATCCATGCAGACAGAAGTAGGACAGTAAATATTAGTACTGCAATCTTGGTCTGTGGCCACTTTAACTGCTTCTGTCTTGAGTTTTTCGACAGTGTCTCCCTTTTGCATTTTCGCGTCATTTTGGACATTTCTTCTAGCAGATTCTTTGAAGGACATCTCAATTCTTTGCAATGTCATATGCAAGCGGGACTCCCTGATTCCACGTACATCCAATGATGCCAATAGAGCATCAAAACCCTCTTCAGAATCAATCAGCTTCCAACAGCCATCATGCGATTCTACAAAAATCCTGCCACAACCTGGATCGCTTTGAGAAGCAGAAGTAATGAATTGCCAGTATCGGTTTCGTCTTCGATCCAAACCAAGAGGCAATGATCTACACGTGAAAGTTTGTTCCCCTAATTGACCAATATATGATTTAAAACCCGATCTTGATTTTTCAGCAACGTGAATAGATTGTTGAAGAGAATAATTATCTGGGCCAGTGGAACAATCTTGCCTCTGCAAGTTCGCTTCTAATAAATTCTGCATAAGATTTTGATTCTCCTGCAGTGAATTTATCTGCTCATGCTGGTCACAGGGAGTGAGTAAAGCCTTGTCATTTTCAACTTGATCCAAACTGCAGGTGGATCCATTTCTTTCATCACCAAGCATTATCTTCGGTACCTCTTCTTTCTCTTTAAACATGACTTTATCTTTTGCCTTCTTAAAGTCAGGATGTGTCACCTTCATGCGGCGTTCTCGTAAAGCAAGAAGGCCAGCTTCGGTACATATTGCTTTTATATCAGCTCCAGAGAACTCATCCTTAGTCATAACAAATTCTTCGAAATTGACATCATCGGCTAATGTCATCCTTGACGTGTGTATCTGGAAAATGCGTCTTCTTGTTTTTATATCAGGGAGAGGAAATTCAATCTTCCTGTCTATTCGACCTGGTCGCAGCAAAGCTGGATCAAGGCTTTCAATTCTGTTGGTTGCGAGAATAACTTTTACATCTCCTCTAGAATCAAAACCATCTAGCTGGTTAAGCAACTCTAACATTGTCTTTTGAATTTCACGCTCTCCACCTGAGTGAGCATCATACCTTTTTGTTCCAACAGCATCGATTTCATTAATGAAGACAATAGAAGGAGAAAGATCATCAGCAACTCGGAAAAGTTCCCGCACAAGTTTTGGACCATCTCCTAAGTATTTTTGTATCAATTCACTACCAACAACACGTAAGAATGTTGCTGATGTTGAGTTGGCCACAGCCTTTGCAAGCAATGTCTTTCCGGTTCCAGGTTCTCCATATAAAATGACTCCCTTTGGAGGCTTGATACCAATATCTTCATACAATTCAGGATGTGTCAGGGGAAGCTCAACTGCTTCTTTGATTTCCTGTATCTGGGCATCTAAACCACCAATGTCAGCATATGATTCTAAAGGAGCCTTCATGTGCCAAATTTAAATCATTGGAAACTTGTAATGTAGTATGGGAATGGACATGAGGATTGCAGACATCCAAGTTGTTCAAAGAATTGTTGTCAAAATAAACAACTGGGAGATTATTATCTTTTATTAGGGAGATGGCGTCTTCATCATCTTCTAGTCTTAAATTCCGTTCAACAGGAACATGTAGCATTTATCTGATAGAGCTGTAGCTCCATGATCCGAAGACAGTAATAAACATCCTGAATCCACCGGACGTGAACCAGAAGAGACAGGTTCAGAATCAGATATTTCTCCCCCAAGTTTAGCAGGAAGCCTTGGTTCTTCTGATAAATTCATGAATGTACAATCCAAAATCACCTTATATTCTTTATCAGACATTATACCATGCAATAGATCCACCTTCACTTCAAGTGAAAATGTCGGAACTTTTCGAAAAACATCCCTCAAACTTCGACGAACAAATACATCAAGTCCTTGACCTTACCGTATCATTGGTTTTCCAAGACAACCATCGATTCCAACAGACATGTTAATAGCCAGAATCTGAGCATGAAGAACATCAATATGCACAGCTGAAGGGTCTTCTTCTTGAGATCCATGCCAACTGAATTCATTTTTAATCTGAAGCTTCCCAGATCAAGTTGTATAAAATCTTTACTTTTTGAGTTCCTTGGAACAATGATAATTGGTGTGTCAAGTGCAAGATCCAGCTTGAGTGCAGTAGCTCCATCTATTTCATATTTCTGAATCAACCATTCAAATCCTCCAACTTTATCAACAAGTTTGATTGCTTCTTCAGTATGAAGAGACGCCAGTTCCATAAAGTACACAATTATCTCTTGAACAAACCTATAAAGGAAAACAATGCGAACAGTTGAAAGTCGACCTTGCAAGCTATAGTCATATCCTTCATAATCATCATTTTCACTGAACTGAAGCAGCTCCTGGTCATGCTCTTTCAAAAACTCATGAAAGTCTGGATCCTTTTGCTGAAGACTTTCAAGTTGCCCCTCTGAAGTTTCAGGATTATGGAAGGCCGAATTTTGCTCTTGAACGCCCTTATGCTTTAAGTTGATATTCACAGGCTTCCCATCAATTGTCTGATCTTTGCCTCCACTCTTGCAGTGAATCCAATCTTGGTTTCTTGTCTGGCTTTGGAGCTCTCCCTCGTCAGGTCACAGCTATTGCCATAAACACTACCTTCCTAATCTAAGATCATAGGTATTGCCGAAGGCTCTCCCCACTCATAGACTCCATTTCCTGTAGAATTTCTTGAGCAAGAGATTTAACTGAAAGCTCCACATCCTCGAGAAGTTCACCAAGGAACGGGATTGTTTCCGCTAATAATACTAAATATTCTTCTTTCAAGTTATCTACAAAATGTTTAATAATTCTCAGGCCCAATATTCTAGTCTGTGTCTTCTCGCTACGTGTCTGCATCAAAACCTCGTGGTTCAGAGGTTTCCACAAAAGGTCAGAACCAGCTGTGACAGCCATTTGGCCGATGCACACGACAAGTAGGTCATCAAATTCCTTCACGCTAGGTATACTCAAGCTGTTGTCATCTAGCAATGCAGGTGGATCTAGGACAAGTTGAGAGACAATAGGTTTTAACAACATCTGGAAATTTGAGGACTCAAGAAACTTCAAGCTCCCAGTGTCATAGAGGAAACACTTGTGTAAGGATGATAGGACTAGTGTCCTGAGATGCCACTCCTTGATAGATAAGCTACTTGTTTCTTTTACATCACCATCATCCATAATCTTAGCCTTCTTTTTCTTCCGACTCAGACTAGACACATTAGAGTCTCTGCCGTCGCCTAGATGATGAACACAACTACCAAGTAGGTATTTGAAGTAAGGAACAAACAATGACCGATGGTTCTCAGCAAGCTTATTTACCATGCCATAAAAAGATATGGCCCTATCCATGCTTCCTGCTGATGCAGTTTCATCCACTACAGATTCTGCCCATTCAATACTCTTTACAAAAAGAGGCTTGAACATGCTCTCTGTAAGTTTTAGGGTCAGCGCAAGCATAGCACTCATCACACCTTTTTCCACTAAATCAATGTTTTGAACTGAACGAGGACTTTGACGGCGAAGATCAAGAGCAACCAGGCAAAAGTCAAAAATCTTTCCATGGAATGCCCCGATAGATGATCTGTCCATTGCACCAATAAATGTTGCCAACATATCAAACACAACTTTTAAGCTTTTATCCCCAGCTTCAACAGCAGCAGGATATAGTTTTAACAACGGCGGCAAGGAAAGCCATACTGGAATTTTTCCAGCAATAAGCTTTCGTAATCCATGAGCTCGGGATTCCACTTTGGGATACATTCCTGAGACATATTCGGGATGAAGCACCAGAAGCTCCATGATATTTGTGAGATATGGATTTAGGAATCCACCAAGCTTGTCCACAACTGCCTCCAAAGTAACAAGAACAGAAATAAAATGGGGTTCATTTGAGACTGATAAAACCTCATTAGTTTTTGGTTTCAAATCCTGACTAGACAGCACAATACGAGAGGACTTCATCACATTGTCCATAATTTGAGGAAGTTCAGCCAATGCTTTTGGACCAAGAACATTGATCAAAGCAGCAGATGCTCGAAGGCAGCTAGAAGTTACAGCCAAGTTATGAGATGTAATACATTTTGTAATAGATCCAAGGCATACACCAAAGATGGAACTATTTGAAGGGAACCTTTCTGCAAGAACTTCCAATGCTGAAACTGCTGCTACTTTCAAAGAGGTATTTGATGAATCATCAAGTACTTGAAGAATTTCTAAACACATTTTATCAAGTGACTCTTGAGAACTTTCATCCATATGAAGCCAAGGAAAACTTGATCTTGACCTTGAACCTTTGTTGTCTTTAAGAGCTAAGCTGACTTTTTCGTGATTTCTTGCTGCATCACATAACAGCCCAAGAGCCTTTTTTCCAACATTTTTATCTGAATGGTGAAGCAACTTAATTATGCTCTTAAAGTATACAGAAGGTATCATGACCATTGTTATATTCCTCAGAAGAGCACGCATAGTTTCCTTCAACTCTTCAAGTGCAAGTATAAGCAACTCGTATCATGTTTGTGGAAATGGAATAAGTGAGAACTTCCTAGATTCCATCCAGTGGACAACAACTTCTTCAGGAGTAACATACGGGCCAACCTTCAATGCTTTTAGAATCACTTGGAAATGACACACTTGAATGAACACTTTGGACTTGCATCCCAAAACGAACATCTTGATTGAACATCCACCAAACTTGACTTATACAGACAAAACTCTGAATCTTCGATTAAAACTGGGATAAAACTTCTCATAAAACACTGCTTGACAAACTGATGATTCTCCATAAGACCACTTGACCTTGAACAATCATCTCTTGAGAAAATAGACCACTGATACATTTACTTGCAAATGAAGTAATCCCTTGATAGTTTGACCAAGATGAGGTCAAACTTCCATCTGATTTGGGCTTAAATGAATATCCTTGATATCAATCTCCTTGCAAAAAACCTAAACACACAAAGAAGAAGAAACAAGCAAAATATTGTAAAATATTTTTTGGTATTTTGGTTAGAAGTTAGTAAACATAAACAACAAAAATCAAGTAAGAAACACACAGGGGTGCCTGGAGAACCATAAAGTATGATCTTGTTTGCGTATGATATGCAAATGAAATGTGGGATCTTAGGGGTAAAAATTAGGGTATTACAGCGTCCCCTATTTAAGATTCTTCTATCCGGAGATATGAAGATTGACATCTTTGTCTCGACTAGATAGAAGAGACTTAAATATAACAATAAACCCAATTTTTTGGCCCTAAGAGACCACAAAATGATATGATTATGCTAATGGTATGCAAACACAAGACCTTTGTGGGGAGAGAAATGTCACAGGAGACAAACAAAAGTTCGAGGGCAAAAGAAGAAAAGAGACTCCACAAGGGAAAACAAAAGAGCAAGATCCTATTCCGATAAAGGAAAGGAAACGACTCAACAGGGAAATAGATACCAACTGCCAGTTACTGGGCGAATATAGTCGATTCAAAGAGAACAGGTAAAATGCTTCTACTGGTTACTGAGTAAAAAATAAGCGTAATAAACCAAAGGGGGTGAGAATATTACCGACTACCAATCAATAGATAGCACAATAAAGGCAATATACTCAAAAGGTGAAGAAACATTACCGGATACCCAGTACTAGGTATAAAAATTTGGGTAACGAACTCACAAGGAAAGATTACCGACTACCGATTACTGGGTAGAAAAAATATGTCGATAACTGACCAAAAAAGATGAGCAAAATACTCAAAAGGGTGAAGAAACATTACCAGATACCCATTACTAGGTAGAAAAATTTTGGGTAATGAACTCACAAGGAAAGATTACCGACTACCGATTACTGGGTAGAAATATCTGTCGATAACTGACCAAAAAGGAGGAGAGAAATGCTACCTACTACCTATCACTAGGCAGAAAATAAAGGCAACAAGCTCGGGAGGAAGGATTATCTTTTACCGGTCAAATGGGTAAAGCATAACCAACCAAAAGGGGTGAGAAATATTACCAGTCAATAGAGGTAACATACTCGAAAGGTGAAGAAACATTACCGGGTACCCAGTACTAGGTAGAAAAATTTAGGTAATGAACTCACAAGAAATACCTGCTACCAGTCAATGGGCAGCTCAAATCACACAACAAACTTCTCAAATAAAGAGACAACCATTTGTTGGGGTGAGGTTTATCTTGTTGGAGACATACAAGTTGCTCAAATAAAGAGACTGTCACATGAAGTCGCACAAGCAATCACCAAGAGAGTGTTATCAAAACACCGTTGGGGAAATCAAATCTTCATCTTCTGATGGGAATCAATAACAGATTCCTTCCGAGGAAAGTAAATCCTCAAAAATACCTTCTCGACATCCAGGTTTCACAGCCCAGGGAAAACCAAAGTAACTGCTGCAAGAGACCAAAGTTCAATCCAGGAACAAACTGGAAAGAAACGATCAAACAAGACTCGACCCCGTGAGGAAATAACTCAAATGGGGAACAATTCCATCCAGATAAAAGTTGGGACGGAAAGCTAAACAAACATCTTCCACGAGGCATAAACTCAGTAGGGAATTAGAAAGGGTAGGTATTTTCTGCTTAAGGGTGGACACTCTAATGGAGAGAGGACACACGCACTCCGCGGGGATAACAACACCGGCGAAAGGGAAACACCAAAAAAAATGCAAGATGCACAATGCAACAAAAAGCATGCTATGCTCAACCAAAATGAATGCGCATGCAATGCATATGAGTATGAATATGCTGACAAAACAGACAAAAAAGGCAAACAGATGGTGAACAAAACATCACAACACCACTGAAATACTCGGCTTATCTCAGCAAATTAGAGATATCATTGGAGATCATGCTGGGGATCAGCAACAGAAACCCTGCAAGAGATACACAAGATCCATCAAAGGAAAATAAATCCTACTACAAGGCTCAAACCTCGCTGAGGAAATAAAGATATCGTTTGGGGAGGAAACCCCAAAGATCAATCTTCGACCATCAATAATTCAACAATATGAATTCCGCTTCGAGGAAAAAAACCGTTGGAGAAAACAAAGCAACACAAATTTTCCAACTCTGCCCGGGGAATAAGAAGTTAACATCATAGCAAAAAGTCAAACTGTGGGGGATTTTAAATCAACACCCAATCACAAGGTGAGAGAAAACCCGACAGGTGACTACTATGTCAACACTTCTTAGAAGTAAGCAACATTGTTCTCTACTTGTGGAATAATCCAAAGTAAATATGCATAACCTCTGCTAGGAATCATTAAAGACAAGTCTCCGCATGGGCAATAACATCAAGGAGAGGTGGTCCTCAAACTACTCAACTGTCTGATCATAACCTGGCTGGATGAATAAAACATACTCATCTGGAGAAGATTTGAATCACGACTTCGCTGTGGAAAACTGATCAATACTTGTCTGGTCATCCATAGGAACAAAACTCTACTAAGGGAATATCAGCAAACCCTACTAGAGAAAACTCGATATAGCTCAAATGGGGAAACATCAACAAACTTTACTGAGGAGAATAAGAATCTGATGAAGGTCATATCCTATCTTTCACAACCAGTAGTGATAAATGCGTATCCTCTGCACATGATCAACAAGGATAACTCTCTGGGTACTAACAACCTCGAGAGAAAAACTTGGAATTGCAGGGATAATTAAGAAGTTAACATCATAGCAAAAAGTCAACCTGCAGGGGATTTTAAAGCTCAACACAGGGTGAGAGAAAACCCAACAGTTGACTGCTATATCAATACTTCTTAGAAAGGAAATATGGTTCAAATTGGCCATAAGAGCAAAGAATCATAACGGAGGAGGTAGAAACCAGCCAGAGATTCCTCATCAAATTTTACCATAGAACATGATGGGATCCAACAATCACATTCACACTTAAATATGCTTGATCATAAACAGGTTAGGAAAGGAGAACCATGCTCAAATTGAAGGAATCTGAATCAAGACTTTGCAGGGGGAATCCAAGTTAAAAATGCTTGAACTAGTGCCCAACTAAGAAATGCATCAATAAGACCAAACAGAACATCAACAAGGACAAACTCTAATTGGGAGAATATCGAGTTCATAATACCTTGAAATAATCTGCCCCAATATCTTCAAACTCTGAGAGATTCGTCGAATCTCGACGTAACTTCCCCAGATTAACTATAGTCGGCATATTCTTTTACTGATGGAGTATTCAAGCTTTGCCCCTGTGAAAGAATCAACTGGGAAAACAAACTTGCTCAAGCTCAACGAAATTTTCAAGAAACATGCCCCTGGATATGATCATTCCTTGAAATGATTTGCCAATTACTCATCAGATTTCCATACTTCAAGAGATTATGTTCATCACTGATACGCTTACGTAAGCTTCCATGATGTCAAATAAATGTATGCAAGCAGAAAAGCTTAATTATGAGAATGATAATTCTAATGCAATTACCTATGTTTATCTTGAAGTTTTTTTTTTTACTGAAAACATGTCGCAAAAAACTTGTGAACGAATCACTAGTTAAGATGTGACATTGATTTTTGAATGCACATGCAATACCAACAAAAGTCTTTTAGCACAACTCATGGGAGTCAGGAACGCTATTTCGTTAAAGTATGCTTTCAAAATAAACCCTGCTTCAATTAGGTCTTTCGAGGGTTATAGTGTGGTTTGGTTCACGGTTTTCAGAAAAAAGGATATCTAGGCTCAAAGTTTATCTGCACCCACCCATTCTCCGTGATGTTCTTCAATCCTATATTCAGCTAATTAGGCACAACTGTTCATCTCTCAAAGAATTTTGATGGTTGAGGAACTGATAAAAATGATGGTTTAAGAGCCAATAAGGCTTTTCAAGGAATAACAGTCACCCCCTTTTTGTCTTTCGTAGTCACATAGATTTGTTCAGGATTTTTCATTGTAATCCTTTCTTTTCGCTTTTCGCGTTTTTTTCTTTTCCCTAATTTTTGCCTGAACCAATTCTTTTGAATTTTTGATGTCCAGCGGGATGCCCTAACTTTTGCCTAAGTCACTTGTTTTCAAGTTGTACGACTTAGCAGGCTTTTTATTTTTCTTTTGAACAAATCACGTGACATTGGCTTATCTGACTTGTTAAAAGGGTTGTGATTGTCTATTTCTTTTGGAATGAGGGATAACCATCATGGTTGGTCCTTAAATACACACTCCTTTTAGAAATTTGAACACTTGGTCAATTTAACTGAAGACTACCCTGCCCCAGGTTAAAATGTGAGGTTTTTTCCATTTAGAAAGGAAACTCCTACTTCGAGGCTCAAAAGGGTTAACAAGGGATTATCTTCCTTATATCTCCGGTGTTTGGGAATTTGAAACAATGCCTTACATCATCAGCAGGGTCTTATTCAAAAGCATATAACCAGAAATTTTGCGTTTTCACCTCATCATCCTCCCTCCAAGAGTTCAAACAAGAAGTT